ACCCCACCCCATCCCTCCCATCCCTTCCCATGGCGCAGATCCCCTTCTCTACTCGCAAAGTCGGATGTCGAGCAGGGCAATGATCCCGAAAGGGTACGCGATGCATTGTAGAGCGCGGCATGGCATGGCGCAGAAGAGCACCGCAAAGCGCAGCATCAACCTAACATTGCATTGCCCGCCGTGGCACGGCACGGGAAATGACGCCAGAGCTGCAGCGGGGAATGACGCCAGCGCTGCGTGGGTTGCCTGACGCTCGGAAAACATTACCACTAGCGCTGGAGACACAGGTCGCTATGACAAACGTCATGACATGTTCTAAAATATGTTAGAACATGTCCACATCATATTCCCACAAACCAACCTCAGGGGCCCCAGGGCTCTGGAAACTCTGCTGGAGGAGGAGAAGGAGGAGAAGGAGGAGGAGGAGGAGTTCGAGTTCGAGCTGCCTGAGAGCGACGCGGCGCATCACTCTAGGGGCTTAGAGCGCCCGCAACTCACGTCCAAACATCAAACATCTAAACATCCAACATCCAACATCCGTCGGAGGCAACTACCGTCGGAAGCAACTAACACACACACACGCCCCACTGACACACCACAAGAGTGTATAACAACAAATCGATTATTGTCCGCCTCCTCGGGGGCAAGACACGGCACGGCACGGCGAGAACGGGGGCGCCCACCAACAGAGACCCACGACGTAAAAAGGGCGGTAAGACATGCATCGGCCAAGAGGGCCCCTGAGCCCCTTCGGCCATACCTGCGCGCTGCCTGGGGTGGGGGGGCCGCGGGAGAACCAAACGCGGTGATAACAGCGTCTACGACGAGAAACACTGACCGTCCACGACAGCAAACACTGAGCGCTGAACGCTTTGGGCCCCAAGGCCGCCGCTCCCGGGTCTTCAGCGGTGACGCGGCCCAAGCCGTGCGTCTTCCCCTGCGCGCGCTTGGGCGACTTGCCCATGGCGGCGCGCCCCGGCGAGGGGGCGCGGGAAGGAACCCAACACCTGTCTAACGCCACTCGGGCCTGGAGGGGCGGGGGGGCCTGACCCCCCTCAGGACGGCGGGGGTCGAAGGGGCCTGGCCCCCCCTCAGGGCGCGGTGGGGGCGGGGAGGGACCTGGCCCCCCCCTCAGGACCTGACCCCCTCTCAAGGCCCTCTTGGAGCACTGCGGGGCCCGCCTGGGAAGCCCAGGAACGCCCCAAGCGGGCCCCGACAGAGCCCTGAACGCGCAGGTCGTGCGCACGTCGTGGCCCCGGGGCCCAAGACGACGACGACATGCGCGCGACATGCGCCCTGGGGTCCTTCTTGGGGCCCTCTTGGAACCCTCAGGGCCCTCTTTTTTTTCAAGGGTAGCTCGGCGCTGCAGCCTCGCCCAGCGCAGCGAGGCGGCGCGAGGAGGGAGGGGCGAGGCGCGCGGGAGAGGGGCGCTCCGAGGCGGGAGCGGCCCGCCGCAGATCGCGCGGGCGATCCGGCCTACTCGTCGTCGCCGTCCCCCTCGGTCGCCGCGGCCTGCGCCGCCTCGGTGCCCAGCTCGCGCCGGCCCTCCTTCGCGATCTTCCGGCCGCCGTTCTCGTCCTGCTCCACCGGGCCCATCGCCTCCAGCCGCTGCTGGACGTACCTGGCGATCTTGCCGGACCCCTTGAAGAAGACGTCGGCGATTCCCGCCGCAAGAATAAGCGCCGCGGTGCGACCCCAGACCAAATCGCATCGTCGCGGTGGGCCCCCCGCGGCCCTGGGAGCCCAGGCGCGGCGGCGGGCGTGCGCGGGCAGCGCCGAGGCATCGCCGCGGGACTCGAGCAACTGGATCCACTCAGCATTGGTGACGGGGAGCGCGCTGTCAGCAGCTGCCTTGGCCCTCCCTGCCTCGCGAAGCCGGCTGGCTCGCCGGGGCAGGTCCGCATCGCCCTCGGCCGCGAGTTCGGCCAGACGGGCGGGGTTGCCAGCGTGCACTATCGCCCTCTGATCCGTCTTGCTCACGTGGCCCTCCCACCACAGTCGACCGCGCGGGCGAGGGGGCAATTCGGGGTTTTCTTGGGCGCACAGAGCTCGCTTGTTCATGCGGCGCAGGCGCCGAGCGAAGCGTTCCTGCCGAAGCCGCCCATCCAATTGCTGCAAACGCCACGCCCGGAAATTCTGCAGGATGGAATTCCGACAACCTGCTGCGACCGACATGACTTTATCCCTCCTACACGAAGAACGGCCCTGGTGGTGCCGACGTTCGCCATCGAGAGAGGTTGGCTCAGAACGTTCGAAAATTGCAACCAACTGTTCTTGCACCTTGTCAGACAATAAGAACCGCAACTGCTGGGCGCGGCTGCCCTCCATTTGGGCCTCGGTCAACAGCGGGTGCGAGAAGCCCCCGTCGAGGACGTCCTGTGGGCAAAATCGTGCCCCCCAGCTCCTCCTCCTCCTCCTCCTCCTCCTCCTCCTCCTCCCCCTCCTCCTCCTCTTCCTGCTCCTCCCCCTCCTCCTCCTCGCCCTCCCCCCTCGTCCCCCCTGGCGCCCTGGCTCTCTTCCAAAAATTCCTCTGCGGCGTGGGCGACGCCGTCGGGGTTGAATTTTGCACACAACCGCCACAAACGCGCAGGATAACGCAAAACTTCGCTGAATCTGGCCTCGATGTGGAACTGAGTGGCGACCAAAGAAAGCATGGCATTTTCCCTGCGCAGCGCTGGATCTGCGCCGAGGCGCGGGACGATGTCCAACAGGAGCGCCCGACTTCGAGACTGAACCTCTCTGCGGCCCAACCTCGCGATTGTAGGCTCCCGGCCATCGCCGTCGTCGCTATTTTTGTCCTGTGCTTTTTGGGCGGTGATGCTCGCTGTCAACACCGTCAACCTCAAGCAAAGGCAAACCCTGCGTAAATCGGCGTCGGCCTCCGCATCAGCGCACCGCGTGGCCACGCGATCCAAACGTTCGCTGCTGACTTGATTCGGGTTTGTTCGGGCGGGCCGAAATGCAGCAGCAGTGAATCCCAACGTCTGATATCTGAGGAGACAAAAACAACAAGCCGCGAACGCCCAAAAACGCGTGGTCACGGGCCGCTCTTGGACGACTAACAGACTCGAGTACAGAGCAACGTATCCGCTTCCCACGGGGTGGGGAACTCCCGCGTCGAAGGACGGCCCTGGCCCGCAAAGCAAAGCGAAAACGATGGAAACAAGGAGGAAGGAGCGGGCAGAGGCGGATGGAGAGGAGACGCGAAGATGAACTGGGTGGGGCGACAGGAAGATTGGATGAAGATGGCGAACAAAAGGGAGGGGTAGGGGGATGAGGAGGCGGGGGGCGACGAAACGTCGACATTGAAAGGGGGGGCATCGCCGCGAGTGGCGGCATCCATCTGGGTCGGGCGAAAAGCCTCTGGGCGAGCCTGCCGCGCACATCTTCGCTGGCCTCGGCGCCCGTCGAAGCGTGGATCAGCGCGCGCGTGTCGATGTTCAGAATTTCCCGAACAGATGTAGGGAAGACGCCCTGGCGGGCCTGCAAAATCCCCCGTCCAGATACAGGGGAGACATCCCTGCAGCCCGCGCGACCGACCAGAATATCGAAGCCCCGAGAATTTCGGCCGCGTTCGCAGGACTGCCTCCCTGAAGGCCGCCCCGGGCCCGAAGAAAAAATGAAGCGAAAAAGTAGGAGGGGGGGCAGGAGGAACGGGGCGATTTTTTTTTTGCACCGCAAACGCCCATAATCTGCCACAGCTCTGGCTTCGCAGTGAATGATTGAATCCGCGCCCCCTCAAGGGGGCTTTGACTGCGCCCGCCGCAAAGCTCAAAAGCGCGAAGGCACGCAACGAAAATGTCACGAAATACGGCCCGCAAATGTGAGCGGATGCACAGAAAGACGCCTCAGGCGAACTAGGCGAGGCGCTGCCTTTGCGGGATGGGCCGCGCCGGGGGCAAACATTGACAAAGATAGCCCCCGAGAAAAAAAGACAAAAAAACAAACCAAAAAAACAAAAAACGGCTCAAACTTGTGCCGACTGCAGCGGCGCCTGTGGATTACCTTACACGGTCAACGCCGGACAGAAAAAAGGAACGGGCCAACATGGACCCGCAGCTAGGCGGCCAGAGGGGCCGAGAAGGGAGGAGGGAGGAGGGGGGGGAGAGGGAAGAGTAGCGGAAGGGGAGGGAAGGACGACAATCACCAGATCACTGCGCGAAGATCCACTGGCAGACAAATCGCCCGAGTGGACAGAACAATGAAAAAGAAGACCAGGGGGGGCAGGAGGAGGAGGGAGGGAAGGGGGGGGCGAGGAGGAGGAAGGGGGAGATTCGACTGCGCGCGCGCAAGCGCGCACAGAGCCTTTGACTGCCCCTTGTCCTCACCGTACAGGGCTGCGACATGGGAGTCTGGGCGATCCCGCAACGGGGCGGGGCCATGTGGGGCAATGGCCAGATTGTCTACGAAGTCCTTGAGATTCACCGCCAGATCATCGATGTGCGCGGGAATTATATTTTTGAAAACCCGCGCGCATGTCGCGGCAATGGCGCTGCGTCTGTCTCCGTTGGTGACCGCGTACTGCGTCGCCAGGTTGGCGGCGTGGCTCCCGCGCGTCCACGGGGCCGGGCGATGCTGAACCTCGGCATGACACGCGCGCGCGCATGCCATCATTCTGGAAACAAGGAACATCGATACCAACGCCACCTCGAGTGTCCAGCGGGGGTCTCCCTGGCGGCGTCGGCATCGCGTTTCGCCCGGGACACCCTCCATCCCCAGTTCGGGGGGGCGTCGTGGACCTCCTCTCGGGCGGAAGCCTCCCCGGCGGTGTTGGCATCGCTTTTCCTTGCCCCGACATTGACCAGACCGCCCCCGACCAACCAAACGCGCGGCCAGAAAGGAAACAAAACATAGTGCCGACATCCTGGCCAACCCTCATCGCGACAACGCCCCCTGGAGATTGCGAATCGAAGCCCGGCCCAGGGCCCCCGCGAACCAAGTGAACGTGCGAACGATCGGGCATCTAGGCCACCTGCCCCACATGAAGCGCATGTCCGCGCCATGTGGGCGAGGGCGAATCGCGGGGCAGCAGGGTTCGCGCCGGCCCCGCCCCCCGCGATCAGATGCAGCACCGTGCACCCGTGGCCCTGGCCCTCCAACACTGCAGCGACGATCTCCTCTGCGGCGTCGATGATGGTCGTCGCGATGGATCGCGCCGTCTTGGCACGGAGGGCCACGAGCTCGGCGTGCCATGGCTCGCTGCGTTCCCCCCGCGTGACGCGAATCACATGGTTCTGCACGCTGGCGCCCCTGGCGCGACTCATCACCTCCTTCCCCGCGGGCAACCGCAACTTAGAATCCGAAGAAAGGGCTGGGTCAATGGCCCTCAACTTGAAGTGCGCCTCGTCGTGCGCGTGGCAAATGGCAAACAAGGCGCCGCCCCCCGTGGCCTTCCACTTGAGAGCCGCGCTCTTCCTGGACAGTTCCTCGATTATCTCCGCGCCTGCGCCCCTCGCGCCCTGGGCAGCCGAGCGGCCGATGTGCGACCCCTCTTCCAAACAGAATGCGTTCAGCATGTCCGCGACGTGCTTCGGGGGCAGAGTGGGCGGGGCAAGCGACGCCCTGACGCAACCTCCCGCGGCCACGCGGCCTTTGACCCGCTTCTCCTGGATTCGGTCGAAATTAGGGGCGCCAACAGAAGGTGGCCGACGAGGGGGGCGATGCCCAACGACGCACATATGACGAAATTGCAATTGACAACCACCAAGGGAATGAGCCACGACTGTTGGTTCGCATGCCGCTTCGCGACTGCTGTTGGCCAAGCGACATCGCGCGTGAAAGCGCCGACGTCCGTGGCGAACCAAACGGGAGAACGGATTGGGGGAATATGGCCAAATGGCAATCGCCCCCGCCTTCCGCGCGAGGAGCACGACAGGCGAGAATCAGCTCAGGAGGAAAACGATGACATTGAGTCGGGAATAGGTCGGCGATATGTTCCGATACCGAAAGCCCACGTTCCTGGGCGGGGGAGGTAACCCAAGAACCGAACCGCGATAAACGGGCGATTTGGGGTTCATGCGTCCTCCCCCGAACCCACCCCCTGTCGACCCCTTTGGCAACGTCCCCAATCTGACCCCGCGGGTCTCCATCAACTGGAACTTGTGGCGGTCCTTCCTGCGTTGCCTGATTTGGCGCTGCAAACTCTTGGCCAGCTGGCCGCGCGTTCTCTGCATCAGCGGAAGGCGGGCGCGACCTGTCCCCGCCAACGCGAGGTCGAACTCACTGCGCAGGGCTAGGCATAGCTGGCTGCACGCCGCCAGCGTGAGCGGGTGCTCCCCGCCGTCCTCGACAGGAGGAGGAGGCGGAAGAAAACGTAGAAGAGGAGAAGGAAAAATAAGAGGATGGCGACGACAACTACCGATGGGTGAGCAACAGCAGCTGCACATGCCCGTCCTCGCGCACATCAGCATCCAGCTGCTCAGTGTGTCTGAGGACGCGCGCTGCTGCAGCAATCATGTTGCAACTCCGGGGCCGACAACAACTTGAGCACCGATGCTACCGTGCAGATGGAGAGCGTTCAGCCGGGCCTTTTCACATCCCCGTCCTGTTCTTTTTCCTCTTCCTCCTGATCCTCACGTCTTTGTCCTCGTACTCCTCATCCATCACCTCCTCCTCCTCCTCCTCATGATCCTCTCGTTCTTCTCCTCCTCCTCCTGCTCCTCCTCATCGTCCTCTTCCTCTTCCTCCTTCTCGTCCTCCTCATCCTCCTATTCCTCCTCCTCCTCCTCCCCCTCCTCCTCCTCCCCCTCCTCCTCCTCCTCGTCCTCCTCCTCCTCCTCAAAGCCGTCCCCTGCTCTCTGCTCCCTTTTCCCTCCTCCAGCTCACGTTCTTCGCAATCCTCCCCCGACTCCTCCGTCCCATCGTCGTCCTGCTTTTCCTCCTCCCCTTCCTTTTCCGTTCCCGCTATTCCCGCCACGTCACGGGACAGCGGCGCGATGAAGGGCTTGGCTGGAAGCCAGCCTCATCATCTCCCTCTCCTCATCCTTCTCGTCGTCACCATCACCATCACCATCAACATCGTCAACGCCATCATCGTGACCAACATCACCATCACCATCGCCATCACCATCATCACAACCATTGGCATCAATCAGCATCAACATGATCAGCATCATGATCACCACAACCATCGGCCCCCACTTTCTCATCATAGTCCTCTTTGTTATCCTCGGTCTGCCCCTGCTCATCCCCCACCTTATCCTGGCCCCCTTCCTCTTCCTCCTCCTCCCCCTCTTCCTCCCCTTCCTCCTACTCCTCCTCCCCCTCCTCCTTCTCTTCCTCCTCCTCCTCCTCCTCCTCCTCCTCCTCCTCCTCCCCCTCCTCTTGTTACTTTCACCATGCAGTAACGCGACAACCGCAAAGAAGCCACCCCTGACACGCAAGGGACGCCACGCCCACCACTCCCACCAGATGGAATGGCACAAACGTGACCAAGGCTACTACTGCTACAAATGCGGTAGCGTGGCAAAGCACTACATATCGGAGAAGCTCGAACAACAGTGTGCACCACCACCACCCAAGTCACGAGCTGACTACGTGGTAAGAGCAAGAAGGAAGCACGCCAACGAGCAGCCGACGACCAACACAGCCAAGACGCCAGCAACACCAAGAAGTGCGAGGACCCCGACGCCAGCTACGGAGGAGCAAAGTCGAGTTCCGACGAATCCTCGAGCCTCCTCACTTGAGCCAAGAAATGCGAGGACCCCGGCGCCAACTACGGGTGAGAACCCGCACGAGACGGCCGACGGCAACCAGCACCGACAACCTACAACGACTCAGACATCCACAACCGACCCCAGCAGCACAGCCCCACGGCACCTGCTGGGCAGACCTACGACCTGCGTGACGGCACCACGGCCGCACGCCTGGGCAAGTGGCCCACGATGCAGCCCCACGGCTACGATCATGGGCAAACGGTGTACTACGGGACCGTGATTGAGGGCGGCGTCGAGACCTGAGAGGAGGCCCGCGCCCTCCGCCAGCAGGCCCGCAGGAGAAGGAAGGGACGTCGTCCTGGGGGGAAAGTCGGGAAAGTCCTCCTCCTCCTCCTCCTCCTCCTCCTCCTCCTCCTCCTCCTCCTCCTCCTCCCCCCCCCTCCTCCGCCTCCCCCGTATCATCAATTTCTTCCGCATCCCCCCCCTCCTCCACCCCCTCCCTCCCCCTCCTTCCCCTCCTCCTCGTCCTCCTTATCCTTATTATCCTCCTCTTTTCCAAACCCCATCCTCCTCTTCCTGCCCCCCCATCTCTCCTCGTTATCATCCTCCCTATCCTCCTCATCTGTCTCACCCTCTTCCACCTCCCCATTCCTCCTCCTCCTCCTCCTTCCCCTCCCCCTCCTCCTGCTTTTCCTCCTCCTCCTCCTCAGCCTCCTCCTGCAACGCAGATGGACAAACACAGCAAAGTTAGCCAACCTACGGGAGGCCCGCGCCATGTCGACCCCGACGTTGGTCCTCGATTCCGCGTGGATCCCTCCATCTTGAACGATCGGCCTTCCACTCAAGACCCAACCGCTAAACGTTAAGCCGGTCGTTGGCCTCCAGCCACCTTAAGCCTTGAACGCCAGTGGCAGGATCGCCACCAGTCGACACGACGCGAACCTTTGGTACCCTTGGGAGCTCATCCAAGCCCGAGCTCAGGACTGCTCGGCCCTCCCC